GCAAACAAAACCAAAACCAAACCAAAACTCAATTTGCATATAAATTAAGATGTAAATTTAAAATTGTAAAATGCAAATTTGCCTTTCACTTTTTTTCACTCCACAAAATCTGGAAAAAACGACCAAAACACGATCTCGAAATTTCGAAACAAAAAATAGCCTATGGGATAGATTTTTGGACGCTGATTTCAAATCTGCAAACAGATTTTCGCTAGCTCCTCCCAATCGCGAGATATTGGCGAGTTTTGGTTAAGTTTTGGTTTTGGTTAAGTTTTGTTTTCCGAAGTCTAATAATAATCACTCTTTTTTAATCTATCTATAGAAAAATCTATAGAAAATCGATTTTTTTCCTTTTCTATTTCTTTTCTTAAATGATTTCATTGAATTTTTTCGATTTTCTGAAAAAAATTCCAATTTTCAGCAAAAGTTGAAAATTTTGGAAATGATTTTTTGCCAAAACATTGTAAATTTTTCTTTTTAAAAGTGCCTAGTGCCTTCCAGGATTGCAGAAAAAAAAGATTTTGAGCAAAGGCGATGACTCGATGACTTTTTTTTTTTTTGCCCACTCATCTATTTCCTCAGCCTCATCCCCGATTTCATTAGGACGATGAGAAAAAGCCGAAGAAACACGAGAAGACGATGCAATGACATCCAGGAAACACGAACACGAAAAAGAGAGAAAAACCCGACTCAAAAGCGGCAGGGTCTCTCATTAAGCGGCACTTCTCATTCCTGCTTTTTTTTTGCTCTTTTCATCTTCTCATCTTTTCACCTTTTATCTTACTGAATAATTGAAATCGCAGCTGACTTCCGGTGCAGTGTGATATCCAGTTTGAAAAGCCGGTACATCACTTTAGCGCAAAAATGAATCAGCGACACAAAATTGAGCCAGTCCTGAACGGCTTGAAATCTAAAATTTTAAAATTCGCTTTTTTTTCTAGTTTTTCATCGCCATTCGAGCAAATGATATCCAGCTTGAAAAGTCGATGCATCACTTTAGCGCAAAAATGAATCAGCGACGCAAAATTGAGCCAGTCCTGAACGGCTTAAAATCTAAAATTCTAAAATTCGAATTTTTTCTAGTTTTTCATTGCCATTCAAGCAAATGACATCCAGCTTGAAAAGTCGATGCATTACTTTAGCGCAAAAATGAATCAGCGACGCAAAATTGAGCCAGTCCTGAACGGCTTAAAATCTAAAATTCTAAAATTCGAATTTTTTCTAGTTTTTCATTGCCATTCAAGCAAATGACATCCAGCTTGAAAAGTCGATGCATTACTTTAGCGCAAAAATGAATCAGCGACGCAAAATTGAGCCAGTCCTGGGCGGCTTGAATTCTAAAATTTAAAAATTTTTTTTTTTTTTGAATTTTTCATTTCCATTCCACCAAATGACATCCAGTTGGGGAATTTTCATTTAAAGAATTTACATTTATAAACTTCAGACTAAAATATTCAGGGAAACACCTGACAAATAGTTTACTCAGAAATAATCGTCATTAGGGTGTTTGTCGTTCTTGAATCTGACAGTGTGATATCCAGTTTGAAAAGCCGATACATCACTTTAGCGCAAAAATGAATCAGCGACGCAAAAATTGAGTCAGTCCTGAACGGCCGGAATTCTGAAATTTTAAAATTCGATTTTTTTTCTAGTTTTTCATCGCTATTCGAGCAAATGATATCCAGTTTGAAAAGCCGATGCCTCACGTTGGCACAAAAATAAATCAGCGACGCAAAATCGAGCCAGTCCTGAACGGCTTGAATTCTAAAATTTAAAAATTCGAATGTTTTTGAATTTTTCATTTCCATTCCACCAAATGACATCCAGTTGGGGAATTTTCATTTAAAAAATTTACATTTACAAACTACAGACTAAAATATTCAGGCAATCTCTAAATTCTTGACTGCGAAGAGCTTTTTAAAGGAAATTCGATTCGATTTTCAATTCGATTTTCAATTCGATTTTCAATTAGCATTTAAATTTGTTCATTTTTCAAACTTCCTGGTGTCTTTTTCTGCTTTTTTTGCTTTTTTTGCTTTTTTTTTGGACTTTTCATCAATTTCACTAATCCCAGCACTTAGCCGATCCCAGGTTGCTTCAAAAAAAACCCAAATTTCAAAACAACTAGAACTTTTTCCAAAAGCGGAAATGAATCCTGGAATGCACACAAGGGAATGGTGGCTTTGTTTTTCGAATCGCTCCTTTTCTAGTGTACTGCAATTTTTGTCTTCTTTGAAGGTCTCACCTGGCATTAACCCGACAACAACTTAATCAAACCGATTTGGCTTTTTGCCTGTTCCGTGTCTAACCCTGGTTTAGCTTGATTTGTCCCTTGGTAATGCCTGGCTTTAGTGCTGGCCTGATCTAGCCGATCTGGATATCATAGCCTGCCTTTGACTTGAACTGATTTCACTCACCTACCTATAACAGGGGAAACACCGAGCTGGAAATAAAGCAGTGCCGGTATAGGGGATAGTGGGTTAAGCTTTCAAGCTAGGTTTCAAGCGGGTTCGAGTCCGGCGGACTCTTTACTTTTTTGTAAAACTTTTGCAAACATCATATTGCTGTTTAAAAGTCCTACCGTCTTTGGAACGTTTTCTTGTCAACCTGGATTGCCGGAACTGGAGCTGGGTTTGTAGCTGGCTTTGTAGCTGGGTTTGTAGCTGGCTTTGTAGCTGGGTTTGTAGCTGGCTTTGTAGCTGGGTTTGTAGCTGGCTTTGTAGCTGGGTTTGTAGCTGGCTTTGTAGCTGGGTTTGTAGCTGGCTTTGTAGCTGGGTTTAGCTGGCTTTTAGCTGGTTAGCTGGCTTTGTAGCTGGGTTTGAGCTGGCTTTTAGCTGGGTTGCTGGCTTTTAGCTGGGTTTGTAGCTGGCTTTGTAGCTGGGTTTGTGCTGGCTTTTGCTGGGTTTGTAGCTGGCTTTTGCTGGGTTTGTAGCTGGCTTTGTAGCTGGGTTTGTAGCTGGCTTTGTAGCTGGGTTTGTAGCTGGCTTTGTAGCTGGGTTTGTAGCTGGCTTTGTAGCTGGCTTTGTAGCTGGCTTTGTAGCTGGCTTTGTAGCTGGCTTTGTAGCTGGCTTTGTAGCTAGCTTTGAAACTAGCTGAATCCAGTTCTTGAACATCAAAGCTATATTAGCCAGCTTGGCTTCTAGAGTGGCTTGGATTAAGCCTGTCTAGCTATTGCTGGCCCTAGACCAAAGATTTCAATGATAAAGCTAGTCCAGATCCAGCCCAACCCTAGCGTGGCTTGGATCTGAAGGCATAGGAATGTTTAGGAGTATCAGAAATATCTCTAATCAATCCGGTCTCCATCCTGGAACGCACTTCACACCCCAGAATTCACAAAACAACATTATAAGCATTTTTGGAAGTTTCTACTTTTCTCAACTTTGCAAGAATCGTATAGCTGCTATCCTTTTGCCAAGCCTCCCAAAAAGGAGCGTTTATCGAAAATTACCGAATTTTCACAACTCCCACAAAATTAGCGCCAAAAAATGAGTCCAATTTTGGTCAAATTTTGGTCAAATTTTCATTTTTCAATCTCCTCCAAAGCTAATCTATTTTTCCGCCTACTCATTGAATCCATTTTTAAATTCATGAGATTTTTCTTGGGTCATTGATGCCTTTTTGGCTTCAGTTGAAAAGTTTTTGATGAGAAACTGAAGGCAATTCGAGATCACGGCAAAAAGTCTTCAATTTCTCGAGCTTTTCCAATAGTTTTTTGAATGCTTTTTGTAAACTGGAGTGCACAGTAGCTTTTGGCTGGGCTTTTGGCGGCACCGTACTTGCTTCTGACTTGCGCTACGGTGGGTTACTGTAGCTGGCATTGTACTGGCGCGAAATTGGCATTGTACTGGCGCGAAATTGGCATTTTACTGGCGCGAAAAGCATTTCTGAGATAAGTGTGCCATCCAGCTTCGGCACTTTTAAAGGAATTTTTCAAATTCCGTAGTCCCAGACTGAGATTTCGGGGCAAACCCTGAAGCTACAGTAACCCTGTAACTACAGTAACTACAGTAATCCAAGCTCTACATCCTTTCTGTACTATTCGTTATTACTTGTGACATCCAGCTTGTAGATTCCGGTAGTCACTTAAATAGCTCCTTTAGCCGGTTTCGGGGCAACCCTGAGCTACAGTAACCCTCTACAGTAATCCAAGCCCTCCTTTTTGTACTTTCGTTTTGCTTGGCTCCGCTTGTGATTCCGGTAGTCAGGTTTTAAATAGCTTTCCTTTAGGCCGAGATTTCGGGGTCAACCCTAAAGCTACAGTAACCCTCTACAGTAATCCAAGCTCTACATCCTTTTTGTACTATTCGTTATTACTTGTGACATCCAGCTTGTAGATTCCTGTAGTCATTTTTTAGGTTACTTTTCTTTAGACCGAGATTTCGGGGTCAACCCTAAAGGTACAGTAACCCTCTACAGTAATCCAAGCTCTACATCCTTTTTGTACTATTCGTTATTGCTTGTGACATCCAGCTTGTAGATTCCGGTAGTCATTTTTTAAATTGCTTTCCTTTAGGCCGAGATTTCGGGGCAAACCCTAAAGCTACAGTAACCCTCTACAGTACCCCTTTACAGTACCCCTAATCTCCGCCCACTCTTTTGTACGAAATTTAAACGAATCAAAAGTGATTTCAATTTCAAAACTATCATCTAATTCAAAAGTTCGCCGATCTCTTAATGCAGGGCTTCCGGTGGGGGTGCCGGCCTCGGCAGAGATCTTTGAGCCGACAAAATTCCGCCAAAAAAACGCTTTTCCCATTTCTTTTCGATCAAAGAAGCCAATCTGGAGCTCACACTAAAATAATCCGCAAAAAAAATTCGTGTTTTCTTAAAATTTGAAAAATTTGAAAAATTTGAAAATTTTTTTATTTTTTTATTTTCTATAAAAATGCTCAATCGCTACTATCCACAACAAAAAAAGTAAAAAATTCTTTTGGCTTTTTTATGGCTATTTTGTTGTCTAAACTGTTTTATTCATTATTCTAGACATTCTTTTTTACAGTATGACCGCCAGGGATCAGCCTGCTCGGTCAAAAGACGGCTTTTTCGATGTCGTTTCCGATTTGGTCGTCGGTTTAATTAATAGGTTGGTTTTTTTTAAAGAAAAATCACTTTCTTTCGTCGATCTGGAACGCAGGAAACCGGAATTTCAAAAAATTTGAATAAAAATTTGAATTTAAAAATTTCGGTACACCGAGTTTCATAGCTGGGTTCGATTTTTGCAAATTTTCAACAAAATCTGCCGATTTTTTTGCGTTTTCAGCCAAGCTGGAGCGCACTGGAGTGATTTTTGAAAGAATTTTTGAATAAGCTCAAATAAGCTCAAATAAGCATCAAAAATCTTACAGTAAGCTTTGATACTCATTACAGTAGCCGGGTTTTTGTCTGAAACCATTCTAAAACAGTGCCCTGCCTTTCAGCTTGCACGAATTTCCTTTCAGCTCAATTAAACAATTTTGCAGTACCGGCGGTCCGATTGTGATCCTTTTGTTTATTCTGGCTTTGTCGATCATTGTCTATGCGGGTTGTTCTCTTTATCGCATGTGTCGAGAAGAGTTTCGGAATGGTCAAGAGGGTGAGAGGAAAACGACGAATTCCGGTGAGTGAAATCGAACAAGTTCTTGTCTTGGTCAAGTTTGGCCAGCTCTTGACCCTTCTAGCTAGCCAGGGCTGTCCAGGGCTGCCTAGGGCTGCCTAGGGCTGTCTAGGGCTGTCTAGGGCTGTCTAGGGCTGTCTAGGGCTGTCTAGGGCTGTCTAGGGCTGGCTAGAGCTGTCCAGGACTGTCTAGGGCTGTCTAGGACTGGTTTAGGGATGTCTAACTGCATGTCAGGCTTTGGCTCAAATCTTTATACCATAGATTTGATCTTTAGAAGTAGGGAAAGTGGCCCAGGTCAACTCGGGAAAGGGCGGGCCAGCTCTATCATTTGATTGGAAAGCTTGACACCTGATCTGGGTCGGCTTAGCTTGGCCAGGTTCTAGCCTTATTCAATCAGTCAGGTTATTGGCTGGCTTGGCTTGGCAAGTCCAAGAAGACTCTAGGCTAGTCCGGGTGTTGACCTGGGCCGACTAAGCTGACTAAACTGTCTTATCCAATCGATTCTTATCCCTAACTTCCTTTCCTTCCAATCTTATCGCTAACTTCCTTTCCTAGAGATGCGTCGTCCTCTTCCTCGTCGAGTCTACGAGATTCAAGCTGAGGAGGGAGTTTTGGACGGGGTTTTCGTTGGCAGTGACGACTCGCTAGACTGTGCATCAAAGTCGCCAAGTGAGTTTGCAATAGTTTTTCATTCTTGAATCTGACAGTGTGACATCCAGTTTGGAAAGCCGATGCATCACTTTGGCGCAAAAATGAGTCAGACACGCAAAAAATGAGTCAGTCCTGAACGGCCGGAATTCTGAAATTTTAAAATTCGATTTTTTTTCTAGTTTTTCATCGCTATTCGAGCAAATGATATCCAGCTTGAAAAGCCGATGCATCACTTTGGCGCAAAAATGAGTTAGACACGCGAAATTGAGTCAGTCCTGGACGGCTGGAATTCTGAAATTTTAAAATTTAAATTTTTTAAATTTTTTATTTTCATTCGATCAAATGACATCCAGTTTGGCGAGCTGAATCAAAAAAATTTTCGAAAATTCATTTTTTACCTCAAATTTTCCATTGAACTCTTTTTAGACTTTTTCAAAAATTTCTAAAATTTATTAGAAGGAAAATTTCGATTTTCATTCGACCAAATGACATCCAATTTGATGATTTTCATTAAAAAAAATTTACATTTATAAACTCGAGATTAAAATATTCAGGGGAACAGCTAAAAAATAGTTTATCCAGAAATAATCGTCATTAGGGAAACGTCGGATAAGTGCTGTCGGTCATCGCTCAGTCGGATGAGTGCTGAGTGCGAGTTAAAGCTCATTTCTATGGCTTTAATTTCAGTTTGGAAGCCGGCTCTTCCCCTGGAAGCGATCGAGGAATTCGAGCGTTTCGAGCAAAACTTCGATCCGTCAAAAGAAGCACTCAAGAAACGATCGATTTTTTTCTGTTTTCGTTTAAACGAGGAGGGAATCGATTATGTATAAAAAAGACGATTCAAATCCACCTTTTAAATCACCGAAATTCTCATTGACCACCAAAAGCTCACCAAAGCCATCCCCCTAAAACCTGTACAAACTACCGTACCCCAAAAAATTCGAATTTTTTAAAATCATTTTAACCTTATTTTTCCTTTATTATTCTTCGTTGTGACATCCAGATCGATGAAAAATCTCTTCAAAAACCCTTTTCAAACAGCTCCCTAAAACCTGTACAAACTACCGTACCCCAAAAAATTCGAATTTTTTAAAATCATTTTAACCTTATTTTTCCTTTATTATTCTTCGTTGTGACATCCAGATCGATGAAAATCTCTTCAAAACCCTTTTCAAACATCCCCCTAAAATCTGTACAAACTACCGTACCCCAAAAAATTCGAATTTCTAGAAATTTTTAAAATCATTTTTAACCTCATTTTTCCTTTATTATCCTTCGTTGTGACATCCAGATCGATGAAAAATCTCTTCAAAAACCCTTTTCAAACATCCCCCTAAAATCTGTACAAACTACCGTACCCCAAAAAATTCGAATTTTTAAAAATCATTTTAACCTCATTTTAACTTTATTATTTTTCGTTGTGACATCCAGATCGATGAAAAATCTTTTCAAAAACCCTCTCTTCTTCTAGATTTCCTTCAAAATTTCATTGTCAAAGTTATAAACGAAAATGCAAAACGGTTAGCCAAATTCTCAACGTATTTCGGGTCTTTTTTGTTTCTTTTTGTTTCTTTTTGTTTCTTTTTGTTTCTTTTTGATTTTAATCTCTTTTTCTACTCGATTACTGGTATTTATTTTCTGTTTTTTCATTTTTTTTCTTTATAATAAACTGATTTTTTACTGTACAATTTTCGCGTTTTCGTCTTTTTTTTGAAAAAACGATCGTAATCTTGTTAAAATGAAGACAAGATTACGGTAGCTTTCGTCGAAACGGCCACCTTTTAGAGAAACAGAGACCGAGAGCGGAAATTCGATCTTCTTAAAAGCTGCAATCAAAAATCCTGCAGTATGCCAGTGATCGAGCTGTCAAAATGGCTGTCTTTACATTTTTTGGCAACGATTTTCAATTCAAAGCCCATTCTGGATATCACAAAAATGATCGAAAACAAAATTTCTCGAATATTTTCATTTTTTTAGAAAATTTGCCGAATTCGAGGAGAATTCTGAAACAGCTGCGCCACTAAAATCGTTATCTTTACACTTTTTGGCAACAATTTTCAATTCAAAGCTCATTCTGGATGCCACAGCAATGATTTAACTTAAAATTACTCGAGTATTCTCAATTTTAAGAAAATTCGCCGAATTCGCGTAGAATTCTGGCGGTTTTGAGCCGCTGAAATGGCTCGCTTGGCAATAATTTCCAATTCAAAGCTCATTCTGGATGTCACAGCACTGATTTAACTTAAAATTACTCGAGTATTCTCAATTTTAAGAAAATTCGAGTTCCGGTAGAATTCTGGCGGTTTTGAGTCGCTGAAATGGCTAGCTTGGCAACAATTTCCAATTCAAAGCTCATTCTGGATGTCACAGCAATGATCGAAATCAAATCGAAATCAAAATTTCTCAAATATTCTCATTTTTCGAAAATTCAGTCACTGCAGACGGATCTCGATATTTTTAATTGACGATCATCACTGAATTGACGGAAATCCAGCAAAGAAAGAAAGAAGGAACTATCGTAATCCCTGAGTCAATTAGAGCTAAACTAGAGCTAGTTTCTGGGCTAAAAAAAGGAAGAAAATGTTAGAGAAGTGAAGGTTTCCAAGTCAAAAAGTCGAAAAATAGCTTTATTCAATTTTGGATTACATTAAATACATCATATAACCAGAGAAAAGAAAAAGAGCCGGTATATCAACCGGGAAATGCTTTTGATTGATCATGTTCTCAAACATGAATTGAAAGAATGGTTGATGCTCGGGATCTGACTCGAATTCGTCTTGGATTCGGTAGAGAGCGTACAGTGACCGGGAGAGATCTGCTGAAAGGGAGATGGCTTTAAATTGTCTGAAATTGTCTGAAAACTGTCGGAAATTGTCTGAAAACTGTCGGAAATTGTCTGAAATCTGTCTGAAACTGTGGAAAGTGTCGGAAAACTGTCTGAAAACTGTCGGAAACTGTCGGAAAACTGTCTGAAACTGTCGGAAATTTGCATTACTGTAGTTAGAGAAATTGGAATCCTGAGAAAAACTCACCAAAATTCTCAAACATAAATTGAAAACCGGTATAGAAAAAGATCGACAAGCCGATCACGAGCGCGCCCATTGTGAGAACATTTCTGAAGATTGCAGATTGAAATACAATGGTTTTTAGAGGCTTAAAGTTCGGCCAATCTGATCGACTTGAATCTGGCAATCTGACAGACTTTAAAGCTGACTCAAGGCTGACTGAAAGCTGACTGAAAGCTGACTCAAGGCTGACTCAAGGCTGACTGAAGGCTGACTGAAGCTACTGAAACTACTGAAGGCTACCAAGGCACCAAGGCTGACTGAAAGCTGACTCAAGGCTGACTCAAAGCTGACTGAAGGCTGACTCAAGGCTGACTCAAGGCTGACTCAGGGCTGATGCAGGCTGATGAAGGCTGACTCAAGGCTGACTGTCCGAAAAGGCTTTGGAATTCAATCTATTGACTATAATTGTAGGCTTCTACTGACTCTAGACAGTTGTTTGCCCCTGGCTTCAAATCTAGCTCTTTAATGAATAATGATAGCTCCTTGATGACCCAATCTAGCTTGAGCATCGATTTGGAATGACTTTCAGCTAGCTTCAATCTTGATTAAAAAAGAAATTTTTGTCAAAAATGACTTTCTTTCGCCGATCTGGAACACAGGACACTAAAATCTGGAATTTTCTATCGAAAAATTTGTATTTTAAAAAATTGAGTAAAAAAAATTGAGTGAAGACTTTTACTGGAGCTAAATTGGTTTATCTCTGGTTTCTCAAAGATCGATTTTTCAGGAAAAGTTCAGAAAAAGGATCCTGATTTGATCCTGATCTAATCTTGATCTGAATTAGATCTAGATTAGATCAAAACTAGATCAAAATTAGTTCAAAATCAATCAAAATCAATCAAATTGATAATATCATAAAATCTAGAGGATAAATCGTAGCGATCGTCTCAGCAAATCTCAGCAAAACCAAGACAAAGTGCAAAAAACAGTCTGGTTTTCTTTTTAAAGCTGAAAACTCGCAATTCGATTGCGGTTTTGAAATTTGATCGTAAATGATCGTATTGGGTTGGGGGAGAATGAGTCGGCGCCGAAAATCAAAAAAATGTCTAAAACTTCAATTCGACTTCGTCAAATAATATGCGTTTGATACTCAGTAGAATGGTTAACGAATTCTCTACAAAATCACATTTAAAAGAAAATTCAAACAGCGCCTCCGCTCGCTCAAGAAAAAGCCATTTTTTCACAAAAACTACAAACTGTGATCGAGAAAAAACCATTGGTGGGATCTTCCTGCAAATTTGTCAACTTAAGTAATTGAATGTGCTCTACCTTTTTTATATAAACACCAAAGAAGGTTTATGTGAAAGAAACTGTTCAAATGATGAGTCGGACTCTTTGCCATTTTAGCCAGCTGCATTTGGAAGTTCATAAACTGCGCGAAAGAAAAGCTTTGTGGAATCTCTCAAAAGTGATTTTTGCGAGAGAAATCGTGGATCCTTTTGATGAAACCAAACGTATGTTTAAAAGAAGGCTTTATGTCTGGAAAAAGTCCCTTTTAAAGTTTAGCGCCGACTCATTCTCCCCAACCCAATAAATTCACCTGTAAGCTGTAAGTTGTAAAAAAAAAGCTAACCTGTAAGTTGTAAAAAAGTTTGAAAACGGTGTCTCGTCCCTCCGGAAAACGAAATTCTCTGGAAACATATTATTTGCAAAAAAAATCGATTACCATTCTTCGCAAAAGTGAAGCGAATTTTTGCAAAAAAAAGCATAAAGAGAAGAGTTCCGGTGAAGTGATCAGTGAAAAGCGGGAATTGAACAAAAATCGAACAAAAATTGGTGAAATTGGTGAGAAATTGAGCTAGTTGAATACTCTGAGCTTTTTTTGAGTTGAGTTTTAGCGATCGAAAACGATTTTCGGCGCCGAAAAAAGGACAAGGACATTTGGGAACGCTCAGAGAAAAGAAAAAAAAGGAAAAGAAAAGGAAAAAAAAAAAAAAGTTGACTTCAAGTAAATCAAAAGAAATAAAACGATTGAGAGTTTTCTTTTTGCTTTCAGCAAACGAATGGGATCGATCTGATTGGTAAAAAGGATTTAAAAGCATTTAAAAGCATTTTAAACCTCTCGTTGATCGGCTTAAAAGTTTCCAGATTCATCTAAAAGCATCTAAAAGCATTTAAAAGCATTTAGAAGCATTGAGAAGCATTGAGAAGCATTTAAAAGCATCTAAAAACCATTTTAAAGTATCTTAAAGCATTTAAAAGCATCTAAAAACCATTTTAAAGCCTTTTAAAGCCTTTTAAACCATTTTAAATCATTTTAAATCATTTTAAAGCATTTTAAACCTCTCGATGATCGGCTTAAAAGTTTCCAAATTCATCTAAAAGCATTTGAAAGCTTCAAAATCTTCTTTCCAAGATAGAGACAAGTCTCCAAGACAAGTTCACCACTTAAACCCGAGTTTTACTTGGTAGACGCAACAAAATGACTATCTCGAATCGATTCGCTGACTCGGGAAAACCCTGGCTACAAATTTCCAGCGAAAAATCTTCTTTTCAAGCCATAAAGAAAGCAAAAGAAGGAAATCTCTTTGTGTTCGTTGTGCGTTCTTTCTGCGCGATCACAATCGCTCTCCATCTGGCATAGGCGGCTAGCATAAGGGGCTTCGCTTTTCGACTTCGTTATGGAAAAGGATCAGCGGTCAGTTACCTTTTAGGCGTCGGTGCCCGGCTAGCATAAGGGACTTTGGCTTATGCTGCCTTAATTCGTTAAGGAAAAGGATCGGCGGTTAGCTCCTCCATTTTGGGCGTGATTCCCAAAACGGTGAACCCGGGATCTTCAAACTGTTCCAACCAACTGTTCATCTCTTTTCAGAATCGATGGTTTTGAATTTGATCAATGTGGTGGCAATTTCGAATTATATTTAGAAGAAGAGGAAAACGGAGAAGTTGATGCTGGTGTTGTGGGGCTGGATGGAAAGGAGCGAACGGCAGAATTGTAAAGGGAAAGGAGCAAGTGGTCAGCTTCCCCGTTGAGCAAGCGTTGAGCGTCACTCTACCATTGTCACTATGGCCAATCCGGGGTCTTCAGTTCTGCCGTTCGCCCCTTTCCATCCAGCCGCACAGCTTCTTCTTCGTTTTCCTCTTCTTCTAAACATACTGTTCACCTCTTTTCTATGCGATTCTCCGAATTTCATTGTTTATTCTATTTTTTTTATAATATTATATAATCACAGTTGCTCACATAGGATATTGAATATTGAAAGATATTGAATGGTAGAGTGACGCTCAACGCTTGCTCAACGGGGAAGCTGACCACTTGCTCCTTTCCCTTTACAATTCTGCCGAACACCGCATTTCAAAACATTTTCTCTTTTTTTTTTCCTTTATCAAATTGCTATACGTTTAGAGGAATCGTTTGATTTTTGAAGAGTCGATTCAACAAAAAAAAAAATTTAAATCTTTCTTCTCTTCTTTTCTTCTTTTTTTTTTTTTTTTTTTTTTTTTTTTTTTTTTCTTTTTTTTTTTTTTTTAAAAAAGTCCTTTGTGCGTTCTTTGTGCACGCAAACAATCGCTCTCCATCTGGCATAGGCGGCTAGCATAGGGGCTTTCCTCTTCAACCTTTTCCATTTCGTAAAAGCGTCCGTTAACTCGAATGTATGGCTCAATGAATTAAGAGAGTTCGGCTTTATTCTCAACGAATTAAAATTTGATCAATGTGGTGGCAATTTCGAATTGTCTTTCTGACACTTCTTACCAAGATGGTTACCGATGGAAGGACGGAGGATATCTAGTGAATATCTAGTCAATAGGAACGATAAAGGAACGATAAAGGAACGATAAAGGAACGATAAAGGAACTATAAAGGGACGATAAAGGAACGATAAAGGGACCATAAAGGAACGATAAAGGATCTAAATAGGAACTATAAAGGAACTATGAAGGAACTATAAAAGAACTATAAAGGAACTATAAAGGAACTATCTAGTGCATAAGAAACGGACTCCTTGAACCAACAGCCAGGTGTTTCGGGGACTCAAACTCTTCCTCTCTCTTCACAATCGATGAATTAAAATTTGATCAATGTGGTGGCAATTTCGAATTATGTTTAGAAGAAGAGGAAAACGAAAAAGTCGTGGGTGCCGCAGAACTCGATGAAAAGAAGCGGCAAGTGGTTAAGCCAGCTTCCGCGTTTTGGCCTTCACTATGCCCAATCGATCTTCAAACTCTGTTCATCTCTTTTCTATGAGATTCTCTGAATTATTTCTGAATCCCTGATTGTTTATTATATCAATAATTTAGTCTGAAATCTAAAAAAGCGTTCACAAAACGACTGTATTGATGAATTTGGACGTTGGATGCTTTAGAAAAACTAGAATCGATAATACACTGTAATCCATGAACAAATGAATACGGGGCGTCAGTCTTGAGCCGAGATGAATCCCGGGAGATTGACCTTACACCAATTTTGCGTTTTCTTTATTCTATGGGAAGGTGCGGGGTCCTGTTGCAGAGTTCAAACTTGTTTTCGAAGTGCTTTTGGGCTCAGGGAAGAACGATATCTTTAAGAATTTCCTTTCGATAAACATCTTTATTGATTCGGTTGATTGATTTTGATTCGATATTGCTTTTTACTCCGAAATCAATGAAAACCAAAGAAGTTTTTGCCCAAATAACTGCCCCCAACCATTCCAGATTTTGTAGTTGAACGATTGAGGAGTTGCCACAAGCTGCCCCAACCATTCCAGATTTTAGATTTTGGCGGTTGAACGATTGAGGAGTTGCCGGGAGAGCTCGTTGACGAAATTCGATCGTTTTGGTGGTTGCTCCACCGAGAAAAGCTTCGGAGAACAAGATCGGCTTTTAATTTGATTCAATTTAGAGTTGCGAGCAGTTCGCAGCATCTTTCGAGCTTGTATGGACGAAGGTTTAGGCCTTTAGCAATCATTCGAGCAGTTTCTCGATTAATTTTGATATTCCTGGCGAGTTCCTTGAATTCCGCGAGTTCCTTGAAGCGAGATCCTTGAATTTCGCTTAATTCGCTTCTTGATCACTTTTCGATCGCTGCCTTCCTCTTCCTCTTTCGATCCCCATCATATTTTATAATATAAACCTTTCAATACCCATCAACAGCACTCTATCAGCTTAGCTAGAGCAGCAGCACTACAAAAAAAAAGCGTTTTATTCAATATTCTTGTTTCAAAATCAGTGCCAATGCCAGTACAACAAATCCATCAAACTCGTGCTCTGTTCTCTGCCAAGCACACGCGATCTGACACACTCAAAAGGACACTAAAGGACACTAAAGGACTCAAAAAGACTATATAAACAGGTAAATTGCTGTCTGGACTACTTTCTGCACAAAATAAATGTTTTCCTGTTTTGAGTTTCCCTTTCCAGGCTTCCACTAGCCCGCCTCCTTTAGCCTTAAAAGGATGGGTGGCTTTTGAGAGAGAAAATGAGATGAGAGAGTGGAAAGGAATGGAAATCGATGTTGTGCCTTCCAGAAAGTGCCGAGAGAGGCTTTTCCTTTCCCGGTCAATACCCTGAGCCGCCCCAACAGGGCCAGTCCCTTTTCAGCCGCCTCTCTCGGTTACTCGGCAAGTAATGACCCCTAGCCGAGGCCCGTGGACCCTGACCCTTTCAATACCCAGCATGCACACCAGAATCCATTCTCCCAGCCTCCCCAGCTAGGGGGGAAGGCTGGGATCCAAGCTAGGGGATCTTTTGGGGCACCCGCCTCACTCAATGAATTTCATTAGACGGCTAACCATATTGTGAAATTTTGTGAAATTTTTAGAATTTCAGAATTTCGACAATTTTGACTTGCTCATCCATTTCTGTGCGTTCCAATTTAAAAGAAATTTTTTAAAAAAACAAATTCCCATCAGCAAATCGCTCGATTTTCTTTTGAACAAGTTTTTTCGATTTTAGCTTTCCAATTTTGATTTAAATTCGTTTTCATAGCATTTACTGACATCCAGAACAGCCATGTACTGACATTTTACGGTAATTCTCTCGATTTCTCTTTTCTTGTGCCACTTTGCGCTTGCCATATGGCCTCACTTGTTTGCCCCTCGACTTTTCCTCACTTCCAATTCGTCATTTCGAAATTTGCTCATGTTTCTAGCCGAACTGGATGTCACAAAAGATATTCAATCGGAAATGGAAAGAGATTTCCTGCACTTATCCGATTCTGATTTTTTTTGAACGAACCGATACTCGCTTTAAACTCTAAATGGCTTAATAACTGAAATTTTTAAAAAAAATGGTCTATCTGGATGTCATTTGGGATATTTAGTGAAAGAAATTCTTATTCTGACTTGATTTATTTTGATGAGTAAAGGAAGGGGTTCATTAGCCGGCCCCTCAAGCACCCCTATCGATTTCAGCCCTGCCCCCTCAGCTCTCCAAATTGGAATGGACCATCCACTCACTTGAGCATCAGAAACATTAGCCAGAAGCTTTGGCTTTGGCAAACAGAGCTTTGGATTAGATCAGAAATGAAGAAAAGCCAGATCTAGATCATCCTGTCGTTGTGAAAAAAAAAAGTAAAAATTTTTCAACAGAATTCATTTCAAAATCTCTTGTGCGTTCCAGATTGCCCGATTTTCGACGAAATTTTGAAATTCTACCATTTCTAGTGACTATTTTCAAGTCCCAGCGACTCTAGTGACTACTTTCAAGTCCAAGGTAACTCTAGT